TGATTATACGTGATTTAATTACTGTATAAACTCTAAACTGGAAAATTTATGAAAACTAATAAGTTGCACTTTTTTATGACTTGTCAACAATACCATTTTTATAATTTTTAGAAATATATATTATTGTTATGAAATTAACCAACAAAAAAAGTAGATTAGAGAAGAGATGTGGACAAGAAAATGAGAGAATGATATTATATTCCTTCACTTGCTTCACTGAGATCACAATACAATGACATGCCTTATTTATAGGTATAGTTTTGCACATAAGTTATATTTATACTTAAATGATAGATAGTGGACAATAAACTACATGAATATAAGTGGGGGGTGAGTTACAAGATTAAAGGCATAGTAGAAAAGTAATGAAGTAGTAGAAAATTAATGCCTAGTGAAAGTAATGGGAGTTGATGAAGTTGAAGAGGAAGAGGAGATGGACATCTACATGTTATAATATTCATAACAATTATATTGATATTGATTTAACTTGTTAACAAAATCACAATCATAAGTATACGATAAAAACTCCAGAAATCAAATATGCAAATCTTGAGAGAAGTCACCGACATGCATTGCTAAGCAAAATATATAATTGCTGAAATTATAAGCAAGAAAAAGCTATATGTGTGCGTGTGTGTGGCGGTGATCTCATGGCTAGCTAAGGCTACTTTTACGACAGAACGTCACCAACTATACAGGTCTCATTTAACATTCAAAAAGGATAATTATATTATATTGATTAGTGCATAGTATATTGAAACAAATTCTTAATTATTGCTTTGCTAATAATTATACTCCATGTGTCCTGATGATTGCATTATTAACTCCTCCGTGCATGTCAATAAAAAGCCCAAAACGTACAAAACCATCGGCTGCTAATTTATTTCAACATAATTAATTTGGACTCTTCTTTTTTATTTCAATGAATTAATTATTACTTAATTAACTATAAATTAAAGACCATCTTATTGTCCACTTGCGGAGACGTGGAACCCACCTTTTGTTTGGTACCCACATGAAGAGGAAGAGGTTATTACTATAAGTGAGTTAAGGGCTAATGCGACGAATTAATCATTGAACGTACGGACTGTGTACTCATGTATAATTATCGTTAACTAATTAATAAATGAAGCTAATTATGAAGAAACTTGCACAATAATGCATGGTGGTGTCATTTTTTTTTTAAAGTTGCTTTTTCCTAATTTAGTTAATAATAATAAATAAACACACAAAATTACAGATCGAATAAAGGTACAGACGTACAGTCTTTATCTGAGCTGTGCTGGGGATCAAAGGCTCTCACTGGATTAGGCTATGAGTTCTTGAATGAAAAAGCAATTAATTTTTTAAAATATAAGTATTAATTGCTTTAATCATGCCAAATATGAATGAAGTAGATTAGGGTTAACAATTTGATCCATTTAATCCTTATAGTTTCAAATCATTGGTTTTGGATGCTATAGTTTTACAAGAATTTGTTTTTAGTTTCAAATCATGATTTATTATTCTCAGATAGAGTATTATCATCTTTAATTGATTTACATCTTATATATTAGAAAAAAAAGAATATGTTATTGATCCTAACTTGAGGTTTATTATTTCATAATCATGAATTGTTATTCTTAGAGGAAGTGTTGTCATAACCTGTTAATGAAACCAAGATTGAGCATTTTTGTCATTTTCTTTAAATTTCAAAACCTCAAATTAAGTATCTGAATTGGAATATTGTAATTGCAGCTTCTTTATGTCCGTTTTCCCTTTTCATTACTTTGAATATGGGTGCTACGTAATTCAGAACGAAAAATGTTACATAAGCTTGAGCCCCATATGTAAAAGGGATAATTAATATATAAGTCATTATAGTTTCAACTGATTTTTAATCAGGTCCTTATAATTTTTTTTTATCAGATCCTTATACTTTCATATATTTTTAATCAAGTCCTTATAATTTTTTTTTCTTTTTATCAGGTCCTTATTGTTTTACTTTTTTTTTAATTAGGTCCTTGTAGTTTTTATTCTTTATTTTACAAATAATAACATTTTAAAAATAATAAATTATTGTAACAATCTTATGTTAATATTTTTTTAAATTTTTAGTTAAACAAATATATTATTTATTTTCAATTCGAATTTTTATAATTATAAAATTCAAATTATAAAAATAAATTTATCTAAAATTAAAATATGATTATAAATAATTTATATTTAATTATAATTATTATTCTGATTATTTATTAATTACTAAATGATTATATTAATTATTTTGTCCAATTCTATAATTATTAATTTAAAAATGAAATTAATTTAAAGAATAAAGTTAATAAATAATTTTTCAAAAACTACAAAACACCTAATTAAAAAATAAGTGAAACTATAAGGACCTGATAAAAAGAAAAAAAAATAGAAGGACCTAATTAAAAACACACGAAAGTAAAAAGATCTAATAAAAAAATTTTTTTTATAAGGATCTAATTAAAAATCAGATGAAACTATAAGGACCTGGAGATTAATTATCCCTATGTGAAACAAAGCAAGTTTTTAGAAGGCTTTTGGGACAAAAAGGGCCACTTTAAGCCTTTTTGGAAAAATAAAATTGGCCCAATTAATTGGGTTTGTTGATCTGGTCATAATCGGCCTTTAGAACGAGCCCAAGAAATAAAAGATTGAGCCTCTATTCTGAGATTAGTGAAATCACTGTTTATAAAAGGCCACTACCATTTGTATTGCAAAAATACTGGACCTAAATATCGTTTGTATGAGCCCACTTGTTGTGCATTTCATGATTAAAAAAACAAGATTGAAACGTACATTTCATCCGTTAAATTTATATTAGGTTTCATTTTAGCTTCTTTAAGGAAAAGCATTGACTTATCGAATCTAAATAATAGCTTTACAATTAAGTGCTAACATATTACTCATTATTTTAAAATTTGTAAATTGAAAAATATTTGATATTTTTCATGATTGAAAAATACTTGATATTTTTCAATTTACAAATTTTAAATCAAAGATTCATAAGTCAGTATTTAATTGTAGAGTTGCAATTTGAATTTCCTGAGTTAGCGTCTTTGTTAAAATTAAGGAATTAAAAATAAATTTTATAAATTTAAGAGATTAAACTGAAATTCAATATAAATTTAAGGGACCAAACATATTCTTTTAAAAGAATCATTTGAAATCCAGTAACTGTATTTGTCAAAAGATCTCAGATCTTTATTCTGATTAGTAGCATGTTGAATAGCAAAAAGAAAAAGAAAAAGTTCTATTGTTATATATCAAACTTAATATTTTTTTATTTTTTATAAAAAAATTTTAAATTATGAATCAAACAATGAAAAACATCTTATCAATCTATAAGGGGGGAAAAAATCAAATTACTGGACGGCGCTTGAATAAGTTTGGAAGGGCCAACGTCCGGAATTTGCACACGCAAGCGTGGCGACCACTTTCTCGGGCGTTTCCTCTTTAAAATTCCACGGCACCTTAAAAAGCCCACGATGTGAAACATGTGTCTTTAAAAGGCACTTTCTAATTTCCATATAGCAAAATTTAGAATTTTTAGATTCTCAGAAAGTAAATTTTTTACTTTACACAGAATTTTTATATTTTTAATTGAAATATAGTAAATGCATAATTTTAATTAAATAATCGTTTAATTAGTTTACATCACATGTTGATCAAGATGAGCTCACCTCAAATCCTAGGCCTCGTTTGGACAATTGTGAACCGACCATATGACTAAAGAGAGCGTGGGCAAAATGTTACTGAATTAGTCAAAAATATACAACTAGAATTCCACGTTCAACTCCTGGAACTCAATTTCAAAGATCTGATAAATAGACAAAGGCGATTGAAACTCATTACAAACTAACATAATGGTTTTATTTTTCCATGGATTTTATTTAATGGATAAAATTTTTTGGAACAAATGATAATAAAAAATAAAAATTAATACAATGAAATCATGTGATTTATAAATTCTGTTTGTTATGATCTCGAAAGGGTGTTATATACACACATACACACATATATATATATATACACTTTTTTTTTTTTGGCCCTGATAACATAATGCTATTTGTTGGTTGAGTGTGCAGGGAAATTAATTTTAGTAGCAAAATATTAATTGTTACTATGGTTTGAAATATTTGCATGGGGCTTCCGGTTGTGCATGTTTCATATTTGGAATTGTCTCATTTGTAGTTGCAATGAGAGAAAATCCAATTCACTACACCTATTGTTTGGCAAATGCTCGTTATTGTTGGAATCCGCTTCTTGTCTTTTGATTTGCTTTTGACCCCATGTGTTCTCTGGGTTTTAGAAACTCATTAGCGTTGATACACCCCTCAAATCTCAAAACGTGTTTATAGATATATTTATAAATCACTAATAAAATTTTTGTATCAGTAATGAGTTTCAAATTTATGATTTTATATGTTATGAGCTTACTTCTTATTAATTGAGTTGATTACTGATATTTTATATCTTGGATTTTAGTACTTATGATTATATGTATGCTTGTTTTCACATGTATTAGTATTTTACTTACTCTTAATTTTAAATTTGATATTTATATATTTTTTATTTTAAAAGACATTTGGATGAAAGTCAAACTATAGTTTTAAAAGTGATTTTACGGTATACGAAATAAATATGTAGAAGGGTTTACTTCGATTTATAAAAAAGTGTTTTTTAAAGGTAGTTTTATAATTTACCAAACACCTCAATTAAATTTTTAATTCCGTTTTATTAACATCATTAACCTCCTATATACTTTTTTTTTTTGGACTCAACCTCCTATATACTTTATTGCTTAATAATTTTCCCCTGTGATTCATTCATTCATGTCCGTGCACCGACCTACTCCACTCATTCAAGAATAAAATCACATTTAGTGGGGAACACATTTTTCATCCCATTTTTTTTTTGTACCAGACATTTTTCATCCCATTACTTGGAGGGATCATCGACATCTAAAATGACGGTATAAGTGTGTATGTAACGCAGGGATGTGTGTGTATGTGTAGGCATCTATACTTATACGCACCCACTCCATTCTGTTTCTGTTTCAGCAAAAATAATCAAGTCCGATCATAAGATTGTCAGCGAGCAAGCACTCAAAAAGGTCCTTGTTTGTTGTTTCTAGTACCCCCCGTATCCCCACCACGGAGCTGGGCAGCCATGGAGCTTTCTCAAGCACTCCGATTTCGATCGCACAGATTACCCTTCTCTCCCATTCAACACCCTCTACATCATCAACAAATACCCACTACGTCGAAGTTCAACTTCATTCCCAATCGTCCTTTCTCCACCACTAAACTCACCGTGTCAGCCATGAGAAAGCCGCCAATTGAAGGCTTAAGTGACGAGTTAAACGCCATCGCTAGGCGCAACCTTGACTTCGCCTACACTCGCCGGCAGGTTCGTGAAGCTTTCAAGGATGTGCACCAGGGGCTGGATCATTGCTTGTTCCAGGTCAGCTTGTTTGGTCTTTTGAATCTTGATCATGATCAATGCTAAGCTTTAGTTTGAGCCGTTTCATCTGCAGTGAATTTTCAAGAATCTTCCTTTTCTTCGTGTTCGATCAGTGACTGATGTTTCAATCTCTTCCTCTATTCCTCTTTGATCGGCATCGTAGGCGGCTCCTGCTGGGATCAGAACTGATGAGGTAAGCTAATTTATACTCCAAGCTTATTTTCTTTTTCGAATCATTTTGTTTACTTTAATGATGACGTTGGTTACGGATTGGCTATCATAAACTTCTTTTTCTATCACTTTGATCCCCAAAAATTTGATTTGATTTGAAGTTCATCCTTCTAGAAGTAAAGATACTTGCTTCTACAAAATTAAACTTTCCAGTATGAAAGTGACCCAGGGATTCAATTTTTCACAGGGCCCAACTTTTGAGAAACAAATGGGGTTTTTCTTTTTCCTTTTTCTGATTAATTCGTGTTAGCTTGGTGAAAAAATGTGATTACTTTAGGAGGCTCTTGAGTTGATATTCTGGATGCTTTTTGTAGTGGTACGAAAGGAATTCGAGGGGACTGGAAATTTTCTGCAGAAGTTGGATGCCAAAACCTGGCGTTCCAATTAAGGCAGCTGTGTGTTTCTGCCATGGGTGTGGTGATACATGCACTTTCTTCTTTGAAGGTTTGTCATAATCTCTTCATTAAAGAAGTATTCTTAATCAGCATAGGTAGTATCAGTATGTCAGGGTTTTCTGCGGTTAAAGAGTTCATGATACGATATGATAGGAAGAGTTTGGATTTTCAGGCATTGCCAAGCGAATTGCTGGATCTGGATATGCTGTTTATGCCATGGACTATCCTGGCTTTGGTCTTTCTGAAGGACTACATGGTTACATACCAGATTTTGATTATTTAGTTGATGATGTTATTGAACAATATAGAAGAATAAAAGGTCTGATATTTTAGCCCTCATTGTTTCACATTCAAGATTTCTATTTTTTAACATTGAAAACTACAAAATATTTTTTTACCATGCTTTGCATTTTAATTTACAGCAAGACCTGAGCTAAGAGGGTTGCCTCGATTTGTATTGGGTCAGTCAATGGGGGGAGCAGTCACTCTCAAAGTTCATTTGAAGGAACCAAACAATTGGGATGGAGTTCTCCTTGTCGCACCCATGTGTAAGGTAACATCATTTTACTGCATTGTAGTTGATGTGAAACAACTCCACCATTGTAATTTAGAAGTTCTGCTTCAGATCAAAGTGTAATCCCTGAATTATTAGGTATATGACTACATACTGATTGTTTTCTCTCTGTTTGTACCACCATAGTTCTGTTCTTATTTTGGAAGTTCAAAACACACGAACTCCTGTTAGTTTAAATTCTTGGTTTCTCCTTTTCATCTTTTTTTTTTTTTAAACAGCAATTGAACTCTTGGACCTTTATGCCATAGGCATAATTAAATGTGAAATATAGAGAAAAGCATAATATGTATCGCAACTGGTTATCAGGCCTGAAATTGTTGTTCTAATCATTTACGTTTTAAATGATACATGTGTTGCACTTCTCATTGGGCAAGAGAAAAGCGACTTTCTTTGTTTTAAAGGCAACCTTTTTGTAAATATTTGAGTATACCCTGTAATGTCCAGTTTAGATGAACTGTATATTCTTGGTTAATTTATCCATCAATCTTGGAATCATTTCCTGCCTTGCAGGATTTTTGCTTAATTTTCTGGCTTTGTTTGATTCTTACTGAATATCAGATCAAGGAAGATAGTTCTCAGCACTGAGAAACCTTTGCCTGAAATGGGATCCAGATATTACTCAAAATGAGTCGTTGAGTGTCAAACCAAAATTGTCAATCTCTCAAACTGTAGAGGTGTCTATCAAAAGAGAAGATGGAACTAATTACTTATTTTGGCGTCTTATTTTTCTGGTTTTAGTTGGGGCAAGGCTTTTGTAGACCAAGAATACGATACTATAGGCGTGCGGTGTGAAAAGAATGTGGTGATAGTGATCTGGCTTCTCTCAGTAGTTAGCATGGCCTTTTAGTCTTTCAATAGTTGATAGCCTTCATGAACCTGTAGATAGCTCTGAGGATTAAACTTTTGAATGAATTTGGACTGCTTTGGAGTTGTAGGTGACTGCGTGACAGTAAAGCATATTTAAATAAACTGATGGAATCTAACCAGACTGCCTCGAAGATATATTTTCAATTTGCTATTGCATATTATTTGGGCTGACAACTAGCACTACTTTTGGGCCTGACAAGTGAAAATGATGTTAGGAAGAGGAGTCCCCAAAGTTAAACTCTGAATCATTAGTTGTTGTTGATTAATTTATTTGTAAGGAAATTAGTGGAAGCTTGAGTCTCAAATTACAGCCTAAAAATAGCTTGAGCCTTGAGTCTCTATAATTGCAATTGCTCTTGAATGTGTTGCTTTCTCATTTTGTACTCTAGTGAATAAACTCTATATCTATCTATAGAGGACGGACCATTCTTTTAAATATTGTCGAGCCTAAAATCTTCATGCACTCCATATCACTTAGTCTTACATACGGGATGGAATCTGGGAAATTTCATACAATCTACTGTTCAAGAATGGATGGCTAAACAGAATGCAGTCATGGCTTGGATATGAACATATTGCATTATTTGTTATCAGGAATTTATGCTTTTCTATTTTAGTTATGTGTGGCTTGTTGTTTCAGAGGAAATAATAATCCTTGTAGCATTATAAAAAGTTAAAGACTGTAAATGTTTTGGTGAGGTGATAATGGTAACAGATTGCATTTGAATTGAATGAGGAGTAACCATTTGTTATATTCTTGCCTCTATTTGGTGGTTATATTAGTGTATACACCTCTATAAGGTTGCCTGATTTATTGATTTGTGTGGTCGTTAAGGTTGCAGATGACTTGTTACCATCAGATGCAGTTTTGAAGGCATTAACTTTTTTGTCTAAAGTGATGCCAAAAGCAAAACTCTTTCCACAGCGGGATCTAGCTGAGCTGGCCTTCAGAGAACCAAGCAAAAGAAAATTGGTTGGTATCTTCGTCAAATATCTTTTATTTACTGAATCTTTCTGGCTTTCTCGTGCTTTAGTCCTCTTAGGTGACTTTTTTATATAATTTCCCATTCATGCTTTCTGTCCTGCATACAATTGTCTTCTGTATCTTTTATGCAACATCATACTCTGGACCAGTGACTCAGCCACTCGACAACATCATATTCATGAGTTTGTGGATTCCAACGCATGAAAAACTCAGTAATTTCTTCTATTGTTGAATTTGCCACGCTTTTGTATTTAAAATTCACCATAGTTTAACTCAAAAAGAGGGGGGGGGTCACAGCAGATATTGGGATATGCATTCTATCCAAATTGATTTTATTAACCAGACGTGGCCTCAAAAGCGGAGATTGGCCACTTTATCTTATTGCTTATTCTTTTCTATGCATGTGCAATTTTTCTCTGCCTCTACCCCTCCCTCCCGTGGAGAAGAACAGAAAAAAATGAAAATCTAAAATGATTAAAACATCAGACTTTGAACATTCACACAGACCAAGTCATGTTGGTAACACAGACATGTGCGCTTATTCTTCGTATTTTTCTTAAATTGTGCTTTGATTGACATTTTTATTCTTGTGTTAACTATTTCTTGTCTAGGCTGTGTACAATGTTATATGTTATGAAGATCAAATGCGTCTCAGAACTGGCATGGAACTTTTAAAGGCCACACAAGATATTGAGGCGCAAGTCCAGAAGGTTAGTTTCTGCATTTTTCTTTCTTGCTCACTGTATTTGTAATTTTCCCGAATCTACTGTGGGCTTCATCCATGGTAGTTTGTGGTTTCTCATTCTGTTTGCATTTATCACATTGGAAACGTCTTCATTATGGAAAGGATGGCATTGTAGGTATCAGCTCCATTATTAGTCCTTCATGGAGCAGACGACAAGGTGACAGATCCTAAGGTGAGCCGATTTCTTTATGAGAAAGCATCTAGCAAGGACAAGACACTAAAGATCTATGAAGGTGGTTACCACTGCATTTTGGAAGGCGAACCAGATGACAGAATTTTTGGTGTCCATGATGACATTATTTCATGGCTTGATGCTAGGTGTGCTGTAAAAAGTGTGGTTCATGCTTCTTACCACTGAGCAAATTCATCATTTCTAGTATTTTGTCTCTGCTGCTGCTGCATCATCAATAATATTTTGTGCATGTTGCTTGTTTCATAATCCATCATAGCCTGCCTTCCTATTCTCTGTCATCTTTCGACTTTCAAGCCATGCCTTCGCAGATTTTCACTGATTTAGGTGGTGTTTGGCAACTTCCAAACCATGGTTTCAGAAGCACTTTTCCGCAAAACGAGGCAAACTCCTCTACATATTTATTTCGTAAACCGTAAAAATACTTCTGAAACCATGGTTTGGTTTCTATCCAAACACCCCCTTAGTGTCCTGATTAGTCCTAGCTACACTTCTTATATCGGAGTAGGAAAGTGATGTGCGATTCCATTTCTATATAGTTTAGGGCTTTAAGCTTTAGTTATTGTGTTCTTTTATGGGACACCGCTTCATGATACCCAATTAGTGGCTTCTAGCTTTTGTATGCTTATCAAATATTATGTAAAAAGTATAACTCATACTGTTTAGAGCTCATGAACTGTAGGGCTTGTATATTATTAATATTGGATGAATTAGCTTGTACTGTTATACATCCAAAGTCGAAGATCTCTCTCTCTCAGAGTGCAAGAGTTGAAACCGACTCCATCAAAAGAGAAATAAAATTTTGCATTGAGAACTAAGGGATATTGGTGGGGCAAAAGTAAATGAGGGATGGAATGGATAGGATATCTTAAATGCACCAGGCATATGGTAATTTTTTTTTAAAAAAAAACCAGCTAGAATTTTCGTTTCCTTTCCTGCATTTTGAGTGTACCAAACAGACCACTAGAGGGAGTGACATTTTTCATTTCATAAGAGTAAGAGTCACACAGCTACATGGTTGGATGATTACAAGAGATCTCTTATCTGTAAGTTTTGATCCTGATTTGAAGAAAACAAAAAAGAGAAAAGGGGGTGTTTCCAGGATGAGTGGCGGAGGAGAGGATCCCGGTGCCCAATCTGTTTAGGGCCGCAACTATAGGTCCAATCAACTAGAAGGGCAATGCCTAGGAGGAGAACAATGTAATTCTCTCCACGAAGGCCCAAAGTCGAATGATATTAACAAGCTGAATTCGATTTTATAACTGCAAATTCGTCTCATAGCACATGGAAAATAATAAAAAATAAAAAGTGACCAAAAAAGCGGAGTCCAGAAAAATAAGCAATGAATTGTGCATTTTCTATTTTCTTTTTTCTTTTTTTCTTTTTCAAAAAACAAAAGAAAAATTATGTCATTTTAGCTCACCAAAGAATGCGTATTCCTACCATTGTAGCCTTAAACTTATGATCATCTTAGCTCTAATTATATATATATTTCAAAATATATGGTTTTTTTAAAATGGTATTTTATTATTATAACTTGCCACCATGTACGCTCTGATCATACTAAACCCATTCAGCTAACCTTCAATTGACAGTTAGAGATAAATTACAAGAAGCCGTCAGTTAAACTCTTATTCATAAACCAACCATAAACCACCAAGATCTGTGCAGATTGGGCAAATTAAAAGGGAAGATGCTAAAGTTAGGCCATTCCAGCTAAAAACTTAAAATTTTTGAACTCGGAGGATTTTTTTAGGGGGGAAAAAGACCATATTTGATCTCAAAGTTTGAGCTGCACAAAAAGTAAGAAGTAAATTTGTTTTTAATCCCCCAGGATCACAATTTTATATGATTTATATATGTCGAGGAAGGAAGCTATTAAGAGAGAATGAAACGAACTAGTTGTTGCAAGTTCCAACTAGAAATTTGAATGCGACAAGACTCTTGCAAAGTCGCAACTTTTGAAGGCAAAATGTGACACACTGTGACTTATACTGTTCAAGAATGTACAATCTCAATCTTTGGACAAGACATAACTAAGGTTGAAACTGTTCAAGTTCGACCTAAGTAAAGTAGTGCAGCAGCTGGCCGGATATTAACCTTAAATCATTTAAGAGCTCCGAAGTTCATGCATGCCTTTGTGCCTGTTTCCGTGATAATATTTTAAGGGTTCCGACAACTGAAGAAGACAGTGTTGTGAGTTGTAAGAGGAGACTGAGTGTTTGTTTGGTGCAGATCAGAGAGAGGGTCATGTCTTTGCTTTATTTTCTATTTCAGGTATGGTTCAGTTTGGTCCAACACTTACAATTTTTGCAAGATTGCATGAGTTTGGTTTGCTTTGTCTTCTCAGGCTAAGGCTACTCTATCAACCCTACTTCTATGGTCTGCCCATCATCAGGTTTATTTCTCTACCTTTAATATATACTACTAGTAGACCTAATTAATTAATTTAAATAGATTAAAGATGTTAGTTAAATCAATTAATATAATATGTTTTTTCTAAACACTTTAAACATCTTTTCTTAATTTCTTTTCTCTCTTTCCTACTTGATTATTGTTTGGAAATATCAATGGGGTTGATTTGGAAAAAAAATTGATAAACATGTGAAATAAGTCTTACATATGAAATCAACATTAACTCTCTAATTAGATTCCACGTTAAGAATCAAAGGAGTATTGACAACAAGAACAAAAAATAGAGACGCCAACAAAAGTTGGTCTAGCATGGTGAAAATTTAGCTCATAACTCATAAAATTGTGAGTTCAAATCCTGCTTCCGATATGAGAGTCTTGTTGGTGAGTGACGTACTACTCTTTGAGCCTGAAAACATGCTCTAGTTCTAGTAAGTTTCTGAGATCCAACTAATCTAAATTTTTTGTGGAGGAAAAAAAAACAAAAAAATAGAGGCAGAGGCCCCGGTCTTCACCCTGTCTATATTTTTTTGTTATTTTTGATCAAATTTTGATTAATAGTATAGATTTCAATTTACTTATTTTAATTATTTTAAAGTTTAACAACTCAATATAATTTCTTTTAATCAGAATAATACAAAATTTGATTTAGAAAGAAAATGAATGCCAATGACATGTCATGTTACAAAATCCTTTGTCAGGGTCACTTGATCTGATTAACACTAAGCACCTCTTTAAGTTTTACTTGAACATGAGGTTGTGTATTTGATCTTCTATGAATATGATGGGTGTGTGGGTTCCTTCCGTTAAGTGAAAAATTGCAAACAAACAAAAAATCCTTGCCTAACAGAGGGAAGGCGACGGGTTCAATCTGGAGCTAGTATGAGTTAATGAATTCAGGCACACAAGTGTGAGTTGTTTAATAAAAATAGAAAATAAAAGGAACAAAATGAATGATTGTAATGAAGACGCATGTATAGCAACATTTTCTTGTACTACTGACTTGCCAAACATACGTATGAATTGGGAATAAGGCCTGTTAGGGAAGAGGACTTAGACTTCTCTAACCCAAAACGTGTATATGGAAGGAAGAAAGCCCAAAATACGAAAGCTAAAGTGCAGGACAGATAAAATGCATATTTTTACCAACAGGGGTTGGGTCTAACAGAAGGAGTTAGTCTCTCATAACATGGCGAATTAAGATTCGAATCCTTGTTGGAAGAGGTGCCCACATTTAGTGCCCGACAGTGCCTCAAATAGGATTACCTCTAATAGGAGGATACCTATGCTTTAACAACAAAAAAAGCATATTTTGTACCAACAAAAGTTGGGTCTAGTAGAAAGGGTTAGTCCCTCATAACGTGACGAATCAAGATTCAAATCTCTGCTGGGACAGATGCCCACATTTAGTACCCGACAGTGTTTTGAATATGATTGCCTTCAATAGGAAGATACCTATGCTTTAGAAAAAAGAAAAAACATATTTTTTTACTTCGCATTTTCCATCATTCGTTTTATGCATTTTATGCCCATCTGTATTCTATACTTTTGGCCGGAGAATTCTATAGGTCTTCTTTTCAAATAAAATTTCTGAATGGATCATACTCCTCAATTTTTCCTATACTTGTACATGGATGTTTAGGATTTAATTATTGTTGAAAATTCAATTATAGAGATATTTTCTCTCTTCCCATCTCTTCAAACTTGAAGTAAAATAAACTTCAAGGAGATTCTGACATGGATATAAAATTTGCACTTGAATAATTAAGTTGTTTCCAAGACGAATCATTCCCCCTTCAGCACCGCATGAGTCTATGTGACGTTGGGATTTCATCATTGGTCCAAACTCCAAACCTTCAAATTAAGAAATAGGAAAAGGGACATAAGATAAAATTAAAGTTACTCACTCATTGGCATCTTCATACCTTAATTAATTATAATATTGGAAAAGGGACGTAGGATTCACTTATTAACCTTCGAATTAATTCTTGAAGCCAAGGAAGATTGACTTTGAAATTTTCTTAAATTACAGTGTTAAAAATTTGCATTATGAATATATATATATATATATATATTCTCCACTATGATTTTCATCACAACAATCTTATGGCCTAAATAAGGATGATGCATTTCTCAATACCTCCAAGCAAAGATTCAGCAAAAGCTGTGTCAATATACTAACAGGATTCTTTCAATCAGTTAGTTTGAAAAGCTGCTGTCGCCTAACAATAATCTGACTCTCTATATATTTTATAAACGAAGAAAGGAAAATTTAAGATAATCTCTGATCAGCCAACCCAGTTGGCGGAAAGTATACGGAGATAATATTCTCGTCCACCAACGTTGCAACATAAGCATAACAACAAAATATGTTCATCAAATCCATTAAACAGTACTCTGTCCTCTTACATGCACAGCCCTCGATTCATTATACATATAACGGCCAGATTGGGAGTAAGGTGCAAGCTAGCTCGAGCTACATAAAATAATAAGGTCATGGCATAAATGAATAAACTTGAATATAGGAGATTTGGTTTCTTTATCAGTCAATTTATGATGACTTGGTAAAGATGAAGAAAGCCTTTGGCAATGAATGAAAATAAATAGATGCATGATTTAGGGCGCAGCGACTAGGGCATATGGAGATTCAGACTGGGAAAACTACTGTGAAAGGAAAACTAAGCTAATTAGTGCACAAATACTGTTTAAACATGCTAAAATATTTTGAGCAATAAAGTGATCCTGGAATTTGTTTGGGGAAGTTGATATTGATGCCGGTCATTTTCTGAAAGACCAAAATAGTGTTTTTCAAATCATATCCTGATAGATAGATACAGCCATAGGTAAGAAGTGAAATATTACCTCCAGTCCTTAATACAAGACCTCATTTGACTTTTATTTTGATCTTAAATATAAGACCCTAATCCACTTTATCTCTTATGTTTATTCATTTTTTTCCAAGATACTCCTTCTAATAATAGTAGTTTTAATCCATAAATTTGATTAGTAAGGATATTTTAGGAAAGACAACACCTATTTATTATAAATAACTAACTTAACTTGTTTTCTTAATTTACTCAAATTAGTCAACTAGTTTTTATATTTAGAAGCGGAGATAGTATATATATATATATATATAGGGAATTGGTACTATTTCTTTATAAAAAAAAAAGGGAGGAGATAATTGAATTACAAAAAGCACTGTACATACAAAAAGCTATTAATTAGCAGCTTTAAACGTTCTCTCACTTATGTAAGGGGGTGTTGAATACAGGGTCATTATTCTTTATCCGTTGTGACATATGAGGCTGCTATACTCT